TGGAGGGACTTCTACAGAAGAGAATCCATACCACCTCAGCCCCAAAATAGTTGGATATAAATCTCTTTTTTCTCTATTTTGAAATATTTTTTTTTTTTGGGGGGAGGGATGGAGAACAGGGTCAGTAGATCCCCCTTTAAACCCGCCACTGATGAAAGCATGCCATAATTCAAGTGGTTGCTATTTACTTCACCAGAATATTTGAATACCTTTCCTTAGCCATTATAAACTGCAGATACAAAATAATGAGCGTTGAGCAAGTTCAACTATTTCAAAAATTCTTCCTACAACTGTCATTTCTATATTTATATATATATATGCAGTCTGAAACCAAAGCAATAATAATAATAATCCAAGAATTTTTATGGCAATTTTTTTTATAATTTTAATGCCAAGCTCCGGAGGAAGAAAAAAATTATTTTGTTATAAACTAATTTTTCTAAGGCACAATGCGCATTTTTAACGAAAAAGGTGGAAAAAATGGTGTTTGCGCCCTTTTGTATCGTACAAAAAATCTGTTGTACAAATTATAAAAAAATGTTTTCTTCCAGTGCCTAGCTTTAAAATAAAATACTATATCTGCTATTATATCGACTGAATGTTCAGTGTAGTTTATGCCTTGAGGACATTTACGTACAAGTTAAAATGTGCTGAGTATAATCATGCGATTGAAGAAAAAATATCTGTAAAATAACATACAATTTAATGGAAAACCTTCCGTTAATTTTTAATAGTCCCGGGGCTGTACTATCACTCATGCGATATTGTAACCGACAAGATTATTTTAGGCTGAAATGTTGCATCTTGCGGTGATTAATGCACAGATTGTTCATCACGATACTAATATAATTTGCGAAATATTTCAAATTAATATTGATGGCAATTTCAACTTCTTGACTAATATTCGAAGAGAAGCATTACATACATGATAAATTTCTTAATTTCTTATCAATTTTGTTCAGATTATCTAAAAGAAAATTGCATAAATTCCAGATATGATTTCAATAGTATTTAGTCCTTTCATTTTTACGACCAAAGATTTGAGTAATTATTTGAGCTGTATAAATCTTTCTATAGCTCCGAAGTTTACTATGCATAATAAATGGCTTTATAATCAACAATAGAAGCTAAAAGTCAGTGATCAAATGGTATAAGAGGCACTATTGTTGTTTTTTTTCTTTCAAAGTTTTTTTGGTTGACTGACCCAACTCAATTGAATACAAGTCACCTTACACACCACTACGACCAAAAACAACTACTACACTGTAGGTAAAAACACTAGTATACTACTATGCATACGAACATAACAGAGAAGAGAAACAAATCAAGTGCGGTGAGCATATCTAATTCTATTAAAGTTGTATCATAATGAAAGCAAGCGAAGCACTAACAATTAGTGCATTTCATAGAGAGATTTGACGGTTGAGGCAGTTTACTGTCATCTACCATTACCAATATTGACTTTCGGCTCCCGAGGCGTTAATTCATGAATGAATGTTTAATGATGCTGCAGTTAATATTTCGGGCAACTAAAATTGACCAAAAATATGCATTCATAAAAAAAAAAATTCTAAAACTGAACTGATTTTAAAATTTAATAAAAATTCATGTTTTAATTATTATTGCTCATTCTTAAGCATCATAATATTGTTTATCATACCATGGAATCTCCATGATAATACTAAGGTATGTTCTAAACAAGATGATGTATTTTCTATGACTGGTTTATCAAACCACAATGAAAATGACAAGTGTAATGTAAAAGTTTATTGGAGAGTTCTATTGAATCCAACAGTAATCAATATTTTTCCCTAGCTATTATATTAAAAGATTCACAATCCAAATGACAAATTACCTATTTGGCCTTCCAAGATTTTAAATTTTACTTTATATACCAAATACAATGAAGGTAGATATTTACATAGAAATCATTGTACACTAAGCGACAAAATCCTGGCCTCTTTCTCATTAGGTCTTGGGTCAAAAACTAGATACTCAATAGCAGAATGAAATTCCTGGCTAGAGTGCATTAGGAATCTAAGACTCTAGGTTGTGAATAGCTCCATCTGTTTCCTTTCAGCTATATCTCTTGAATGTGAACCTCATTATCTATGCTCTTTGTGTTGCCATGGCAACTCCATAGCTCTTTGATACCGACTAATGGAAATACTTAAGTGTTGTGATGCATTTTAGTACACCAAAATTAGGCACCTAAAACCAGGGAGTTGCTAAAACAAAGAGAAATATGTAAATCCTTTGTGTAAGTGATTTAAAATCATATTTTAATAATTAATATCATAGTATCATTATTTATTTTATGCAGAGTTAATCATATAACTATGAATATTTTTCACATACTTCTAAAATTATCAACATCAAAATTAAGTACCTAAAACAAAGAGAAATGCATAAATCATTTGTGTCAAAAAGACACAAAAAGCATATTTGACGAAAAACTTGGTAAACGGTTAATGAGATACAGATTTTAAATATTTAAAAACTGGGTGAAAATGTGGTAAAAGGGGTGGTTATGTCCCTTTTACCCCAGTATTTAAGTATTCATAAATCTGTATCTCATTAACTGTTACCATAGAGAAACTGAGTTTTTTGTCAAATATGCTTTTCATGTCTTAGAAAAATAGTTGTATAACACACTAAAAATGTTTTCCCCCCAGAGCCTGACTTTAAAAATCATATACATAATTAATATCACAGTATCATATGATTTGGTTTACACAGAGACAATCTATAATACCTACAGTAGAATATTTTTTATATTACTTTAAAAATTACCATTATAGCACCCAATAAATATACTGATAAAACGAATCCATC